AAATGTTAAGATTGAAAACAATCAAAATTTCACAGGTTATGATCATCTAAATAGAAAATACCAAAGAATCCTCAATTATTAGAATTAGAATTTAGGACAAATTGCTGAGTGAAATTAATATGAAAGAATGTATAACAGTACTGTATAACAGCTAGAAAATGCAACTTATGAAAATATATAAAAAATAAACTAAAAATAAATTTAATAAGTGATATACAAGACCTGAAATTATAAAATTTTACTGAAAAATGTTAAAGTTCAAAAAAACTGGAGTAACAAAACACAAGATTCATATCTTAAAGGCATTGGTTATTACCAAATTGAACTGGTAATTCAGTGCAGTTTCAATTGAAATTCCAATAGCAGATTTTATAATTTCTATTAAAGAACAGCAAAGGACCAAGAATAGCTAACACTTGTCTTGAAGGAACAAGGAAGACAGGCAGGTACTCTCTCAGAAATATGAAAAGGAGAATCCTTAATTAAGTGAGTATAGATACAAGGAGAGAGAAATACAACCATGGAACAAAGAGCCCAGTAAAACAAACATACACATACAGAAATATACTGATAGCTAGAAATACAAAGCATTGGGGAAAGATAAATTTAACAAGTAATGTTGGAGAAATTACATATTTTAAATAGAAACATTAAACTAGATCCCTACCTCACAGCACACAAATTAACTTCATGCATATTAAGGACTTAAAAGGCCCCAACTTTAAAAACTTGTAGAAAAAATACATAAGAATTTCATTAATGGCCTTTGCTATAAGAATATCTTAACCAAAAAGCACTAAACATAAAAAGGAAACACTAATAAATTTTACCCCACGAACATTAGTAGCTCCCATCAAGAGATCTTAGACAACGGAAAGACAAGCCAAAGACTAATCAGAATACAGCATTAACATCCAGAATACATGACTATAAATCAGTAGGAAAAGACAAACCAATTAAAGACAGGCAAAAGACACAAGTATTCCATAGAAGAAAAAAACTATTAGCAAAGTTATGAAAAAGTAAAACGTGCATCTTCTCCACTGATCGGGGAGCACACGTGAGAACAAAAACAGGATAGCATTTCACACTCTCTTCTTGGCAAAAATTCAAAAGTGAGACAATACCACCTGTTCAAGAGGATATGGATTAAAGGGAACTGTTGGTGGGAACATACTGGTACAATTGCTTTGGAAAACCATTCAGCATTATCAAAGAAAGCCAAAGATGCACCCTCTATGACCCTGCCATTTCAATCACAGGTCTGTTTGCTGACTATTTTCTCTCTTTACTCTTTAAAAAAAAAAAAAAAAAAAAAAAGATTATGTCCTTAGTCACTAAACATATTCCACAACCCACCACCCAGTTGTAACCCACAGCCCAATTTGCAGTTTATATATTTATTTTTAAAAATATTTTATTTATGTATTTGACAGAGAGAGAGACAGCGAGAGCAGGAACACAAGCAAGGGAAGTGGGAGAGGGAGAAGCAGGCTTTCCGCTGAGCAGGGAGCCTGATGCTGGGCTCCATCCCAGGACCCTGGGATCATGACCGGAGCCAAAGGCAGAAGCTTAATGACTGAGCCACCTAGGCGCCCCTCAATTTGCAGTTTAAACCACTGATGCCCCTCTCAAACATTTTGGGTTTTGGGACCCCTTTACATTCTTAAAAATTACTGAAGACCCCAAAAAGCTTTTTCTTCATGTGGGTTATATCTAAATGTTAACATACTTACTAATTTAAAAACGATACACCCATGATGTTACCATAAATATAATTTTTGAATGAAAAATGACTGTCATCCAAAAAAATGAAAAGAGTGACTTTTTTTTTAAACACATTTTTACAGGTCTCTTTAATTCTTAACTTAAAAGAAGGCTGCTGGATTCTTATATCTGATTCTGCATTCACTCTGCTGGATATGCTATTTTGGTTGATACACAAGAAAAGCTGGTCTCCCACAAAGTGGCTGGGTAAGGAAGGTAATAGTAGACCCTCTTGTGAGGGCCTCAGGCATCCCCAAAGGTCTTCGGACCATGCTTTGAAAACTGTTGCTTTAGAGAAATTTTTGCACTTGTGGAACATGTAGGGATGATCACGAGAATTGTTTTTGAATGCCTGGCAAACCAGTGAACAACAAAACTGGCTCTGCCATTTAGTAGTTGTGTAAACTTGACTTAACCTCTGTGCCTCATTTTGCTCATTCAAAAATGGAAATACTAATGAGTTAATATATGAAAAGCATTTAAAACCATGACTGCCAGGTAATACTATATATTTTATAATCTCAAAATGTATGGTGGTGGTATGTATGAGAGAAAAGCAGGAAGATGCACAAAGAAGCATAAAGTTATTCATTTTATTATTCTCAAAGATAAATCTTTTATATATTTAGTATTAAAAAATCTATGATATATTAATAAACCTTTTAAGAGAAAAAAATATGGAGCACATTAGTTACAGGGCCTGGTTAAAAAGGCAGAGAGACCAGTCAGGAGATTAGCATTAAGTCCAAAGTGACAGAAGAGTTCTGACTACGGATACTGAGAAAATAAGAAAGGAAAGATACTCTTCTATTTCAACACTATGCTGCCTATACTTCTACTTAACGTCACTGTGCCCAGTCATAGCTGCTTTCCTGAGGCGGCCACTACGGAAAGGATACACAGCAATCACTCAGTCCATGTTACCTGCTGTTGTTACTCTTCTTGCTGCTGTTGCAAAAAACAATTTGAACTTATACCTCCTTCCACACTGTTCACATTTGAGATTTACATAGTCGCTGCTTTCTCAAGAATGCCATTTGTGAATCTGCCTGTTAAAAATCCTTGCCTAGTAAAAGCATCTCTATTTACTATATAGCAAGCTCCAAGCTGGGTCTATGAGCGATGAGTGTTGAATACATATGAATTGATTTTTTAAATATGATTGTTAATACAACCCTAAAATCTGAATATGAATAGCCTTTTGAGTTTATGCTGTAGTTTTTAAAGGTATTTTTGTGTTCTCTTATTTTATGATTGGCTGTTTGCTAAGCTAAATGCTTTTTAAATTTTGTTGGAAATGCCAGCCTTATTTCTTACAGGACAGTTAAACTGTTTGAGCAGGGCCATTTCCTATACACTAATAAAGTAAATTTAGTCATTTTTGTTTTGAAACTGACTTCCAAATTAGACATTTTGATGTAGCAAGTCAAATTAAGAAGGTCATTACACTTTTGATTTGCAAAAGATCCTATATATTTGAAAAGTGTATTCTTGATATTTAGAATACAATTAAAGCTGAGCTTAGCATGTAAAAATATATATGCTTTTCTACTAAACACTCTAGGAAATTTATGCCCAGGCCACCTTAAGGAATAAGGGTTGACAGCACATCCCAGTACCACTGCTCAGCTAGGTGGACTTAGCAGAGTACAACTCAATTAACACAGGAGTATTTCTTGCTCAGTCTCTAAGTGCTAAATTTTGAAAGCAGAGAAAAGCCACCTTCTCCCATTTAAATTTAATCACAACTCCTATATAATCTCATCCATCTACTTAGGGGCACTTCCTCCTAATAGTTCCTCTTTTTATATTCCCTTTTACTGAACTAATTCCTGAATTAACTCTTAAGTGCTTCATTCATTCCTTCTCCTTAATCTTCCCTGACTGCTCTGCAATCTCGACTCCCATTCTGCAGAAATTGAGTTACTTCTGGCCTCATTATCAAAAACCTTAAGTCACCAAAAGCTGAAACTGAGGAAAACTGTCTTCCCCAAGGTGACTGCTCTTAATGCTCCCTAAACTTCTCCCCGTTAGGGTCTATGACATAACTTTACCCTGATAGTTCCCTGTTTTCTTCCCTCACTTCTTTTTTCACGTTTTTACCTTCTTCCACAATTCATCTAACCCAACTCTACCACACGACCTCTGCTCATTCCTAATTATTTAGTTTCCTGAAAGCTCCTATTATCTTGGCATATACCTAGAAACGCCTGTGGTGCCTTTTTCTTCTTTTCTTTTCAGTTCTTGTGCCAAGCATTTACAATTCCTTCCCCACCCAGCTAGCTAGCTCCATTTCCCGACTAGGAAACTGTTTCTAGCTTACACCCAAGAACTAGTAACCATTCATGCCTAGGTTATTCTACCATAGCAGCATTTATCAAACTGAACTGCGTAACAGCCTAATTACATGCAGTTTCTCCTCAGTGTCTTCTCCTTCAACGCAGGGATTCTATCTCATTCACCTGTGTAATCTTAGAGCCTCAAAGTATGCCAGGCACTCCGCTTTAGCTAAATGAAGATATAACGGCTCTCACTTGAGCCTCCCCCCATTTTCTGCCTATTCCCAATGTGGCGGATCCCCAAACACTAAGCGCTGACATTCCAATTCGACAGATAGTGACTTAACTGGCTGGTGGCCCCTGGAGAGGCGAAAACAATGTTTAGGTTCAGCTCTCCCTGTCGCCTCTCTAGAACGGCATGTACACGCTGCACAGTAACACCGGAGGCGGAAAGCGCGCGCTCTGGGTACAAGCAAGAACAAAGTCACTGGGAATATGCGACGGGAGGCACTGCAGGCAATGGAATCAGCACAAGCAGCAACTAGTAAGCACTCGATCCTGAGGACTATTCAACAGCTGCCAATTAAGCCAACTCATGAGCCTACCTGGTCTCGGCGAGTTTCCAAGGGGGGGGGGCCGTTACACCCACGTGACCAAAGCTGCACTGTTTTCCCAAGGCCAAGGCGTGGGTAGACACCCTAGCGAATCTTGGCAAAGTTCGGCAACCTGCGCTGCTAGGCCGGAATGTGAAAGGAGCAGAGGGGATGGACGGGCCAGGCCTGTTTCGAGGTAAGGGTGCAGCCTCCACAGAGGAGCAGTGAACGTCCGGGGAGCAAGGGATTCCCGGCCGTTCCCCAGAATGGGGTGAGACTCTGGGCCCAGAGCGCTTTGAAGGGTGAGGAAAAGCAAAGAGGCGCCAGGACCGAGCCTATTTGAACGTCAGCCGCTTCTTACCGAGATCTGAGAACGAGAAGTCGCAGAGACCGACGCTGCCGCCATCTTCCTGCCTACCCAGAAGGCCTCCGCAGCCCTGGGGGGGGTCCGGGTTCTCGAGCTCTTCCTTAAGATTCGAGAGCCGCCCACCAGGGGCGACCCTAAGCCAAACCCCTGATGGAAGGGGCTTGGGGTATTGGTGCCGGGTCTAGAAACCCCTGCACACACCCCCACAGGGGCGCCCACGCTCAGAGTACACACTGAAAAGGCAACACGTCCTAACGGGCGTCTTGAGTAGCCAATCAAAAAAGCGGACGTCTTCCGGTAGTAGGAGAGAATCCGCCTCTTCCCTCGCTGACGTCACAAGGTAGCGCATCGCTGAAACTGTGGGGGCTGCTAACGCTGCCGATTACCGCACGGTTCTGAGGAGGACTCTACAAAGGGGCGGGCCACATCGAGGAGGAAATGTTGGCCATGGGTTGTGATGTCTCCAGTGGCAATGGAATAGAATGAAACAGAATAAAAGCAAGTGCGAAGTTCAAACACTCCATCAGTTCCCTCGGACTAAACCCCGGAGAGAGCGTGAGCTCGAGTCGGAGACGCCTCTCTAGGTGAAGTACTTAGCCTTTGACCAATAACAAAATAGGATGTGGAGGAGCTTTGGTGACTTTGTCCAATAGAAGTCAAGGGAAAAAAGAGTGGAGGCAGAGAGTAAACCTTCACGAACATTTGCCCAATTGGATTGGGGCGTTCTCACTCAAACCTGGGACTGGCGGCTACATACAGGCGCTGCGGGGGGCTTTGGGCGGGGCGAGTTTGAAGCGGATTTCGCGCGCTGAAAGCGTAGGGCCGTCATTGGCCAGCAACTTCCTCCCTTTGTGGGAGCTCCCAGCGTAGCCGGGGTTAGGGGTTGGGAGGAGCGACCGAGTGACGCAGTAGCCTTCCCAGCCAATCAGAGATGGGGAAGGGAGGCCGAGAAGGAAGCGGATCCACTGCCGCGCAGCTAAACCGCATCGAACTATCCTCTTCGTCTCCCTCCGCCGCTATAGGGGCCTAAGCGGGAGCTGCCTGGACGGCGTCACTGAGAGGGCTGGGGGGCGGAAGTGGAGGCGGAGGGAGACGGTACAGACCGCAGGGCCTCGGGCCTTCGCGGTGAGGCTTTGGTGGGCGCGAGACAGGGGAGGGGGGAGGAGGAGGAGCCCGCGGCCCGGGCGGCGGCGGCGGCGGCGGCGCCCGAGTCCGAGTTCCCCGTAGGGCCCCGCCTCGGAGCGGGCGGCGGTGGAGGAGGAGCAGGATGGCGGCCTCGGCCCTGTACGCCTGCACCAAGTGTACCCAGCGCTATCCCTTCGAGGAGCTCTCCCAGGGCCAGCAGCTCTGCAAGGTCCGTGGGTGCTGGGCGGCGGGCGGGGTTTCCTCGGCCAGAGCCCGAGGGAGCTGGGTGTCCTCGGCACTGCAGCCCGGCTCTCTTCGCCGGCGCCTTGGGGGCTTGGAGCTCTTTCTTGCGTCCTCACTCGGGACCCCTTTATCCGAGGACGTGGGCATCAGATGGGAGGGGCCCCTGAGGAAGACAAAATTCTGTTTTCTTCCAGGCGGCCCAGGAGGGGGCCGGGCCCCACCAACATTCAGGGGTCTCAGGGGTGGGGCTGAGTGAGGCGGCAGCCACCTGTCTATGCCGCAGAGACCCTGGGGTGGAGATGTTTTCATCTCGGTTTTCTGCCTGGACTGTCCTCTCCTTCCACTGGGAGGCAGGGGACGGTTTTTGCACTTTCTTGCTAGGAACCTGAAGCCGCAAAGCTGATGGCATCCTTCTTCCCTGTCCAGGAAAGCGAAGCGACTGGTTTGGGGACAGAATGCTCTATGATTTGGAGCTCCTCCCATCCCATTAAAGCCGGGATGCTGTCTGTGAGCAACGGTGCAAAATATTAAGTAGTTTCACATTTAACCAACCCTTGAAATCGGCCCTGACAGCTTTCTTAATTTATTTGTAGCATACCCCCCACATCAAAAAGACAAAGACACCTATGCTTTCCCTAAGAAAATATGCTGTAATTGGCCACTTATATGATAAATTACTCAATTGTTTACGTTGGAGGACAGGTATTATTGATGTTTTAGGAATTTGATTAGGTTGTGTAATAATTTTCTACCAGAAAAGTGAAATTTGGGTTTTTGAGATAGATACTAATATATTGTCTTATTACAGGAATGTCGGATTGCGCATCCTATTGTAAAATGTACTTACTGCAGATCAGAATTTCAACAAGAGAGGTTTGTATACTAAACAGTTTTTGATTGTTAAAGACACAATTGTCTGTAAGGAATACTGGGGGGTTGTAATCCTGTATTTGTGGTAAAGTATTCTTAAATATGGTTTAGCGTCTTAAATTTTAAGTTGTAAACCTTTTATGTGTGGTGGGAGAGACCATGTTGACAAATAATTAATGGCTGTTTTACAGCTAGACTTAAGTTTACACGTGAGGAAATGGAGAATAAATTATTGCATGGAAAATACACAGCCTCGCTGACTAAAAATGCAAATATAAAGTTACTATTAAGCTGTAAAAAATGACAAAACATTAGTGCTGACATAATGTTACCAACTATCCTCAAAGTGAAATCTAGTAACTTGTTACCAGTGGAAGAACAGCACATACTTTTTAATAGGGTGATTCCTGTTAAAAGATCAGAGCACGTTTAAGAGAGTAGTAGCCTAAGGAGAAGAACAAATAATTTCTTCATAAGTAGATAACTGGCATCATAATAGTGGAGAAAGCTCAGAGGAAGGTTAGGTAAGCACAGAGATATAAGGCTGTGCATAAACAGTGGCAAATGTGAAGATTTTGGAACTAAATAGGAAACATTAGGATTTTTGTTTTGTTTCCTTTATCAAAAGATACACAATAAAAATGTATAAAAACATCATTTATCTAAAGTTAATGAAAGAAGAGAAAATGTGTGTAAGACACATCGCTAAAAAGATTTTTGGTCTATATTAGAGGAAGTTTTAAGAAACACTAAATAGTCAAATATAAACTGTATTTGCTTTAGTTCGACAGTGTGCTAATTACCTCAGAAAGCTATGTAAATTTGATCATTTATATTCAATTTCCTTTTCAGCAAAACTAATACAATTTGTAAGAAGTGTGCTCAAAATGTGAAGCAATTTGGCACAGTAAGTATGTCTTACATTTTTATTTCATGTTATTGTTACTAGTCAGTGTTTTTCACAAAATGGACTTTTAAAAAAATCTGTGTTGTTATGTTCTTAAATATTCAACATGGTGTAAGATATTGCGGGAAAGAAATTTTCTGTAGACAGTCTGATTGGAGGATGACAACATTTAAAAAACAGTCATATTATGTGCATGTTTTGTGTATATTGAATTTCAGTGTGAAATGTATGATTTTATTCTTTAGACTCAGATATAACAAACTGACTCCTGGTTATGGAGAACCCACTTATCTATAAAGTTTGCATAATCACACTCCCCCCCCATAAAGTTTGCATAATCACTCTCCCTCCCCCCCCGCCCCGAACCTCTAACAGTTTTTATATAGTAGTACAGTTCAGGCATTTATTCCCAAAAGTCATGACATTATGCTAGTATAAATTTTTTCTCACATGCATATGACAGTCATTATTGGTATAGTACAGTCATGATTAGTCAAAGTGCTGGCCTTAAGGTTCCCTAAAATCCTGAATTGTCTTGAGTATCAAAGAAAATTAAGCTATGTTTGTTACAGTTTAGGTTGAATATATTTGTGCCAATTTTTAAGTTGAAAGCTCATGTGTAATGTATATTCTTTTCATCACCTATACCTGTATATGATAAAAAGTTGTTAAATTTTTTTTAATGAAACAGTAATAAAAGTAATTAGGATATTAAATATTTCATGCTCCTAAATACTGGGTACATGAAACTTTTCTATCAGTGTGTACCTTTATTTTCATTCTTTGAGACTTTTTTCACATGTAGCTTTTATATAACATACTATCCAATCATAAATACATTTCTCATGATCTTATTTATTTAATAGAGTTAACAAAAAGTTGTGTGACTAGAAACAAATGTTAGTAAATGAATAGGAACGTGGAGAATGTCATTAAATATGACAGGGTAACATACCTGACAAAATTTTTTTATCTGTTTCCTTAATTAGTCCCAGAAATATGTCTGTATACAGGTGTATATTTTATGTGGCAAATTTTTAATATTTTTAAATGTCTCAGTTAAAATGTATATCTGCTTTTCAGCCTAAGCCTTGTCAGTACTGTAACATAATTGCAGCATTTATTGGTACAAAGTGTCAGCGTTGTACAAATTCAGAAAAAAAATACGGACCACCTCAGACCTGTGAACAGTGCAAACAACAATGTGCTTTTGATCGAAAGGAGGAAGGAAGAAGAAAGGTATTTATATTATATCTTCTGGAAATTGAATGAAACACACGGGTTGGGAGTTATTTTAATGAATACACTACTGCTACATGATGTATCCTTTGGATCCCTGAAAATGCTTAGATGGAAGTGCAGGAACAGTGCATTTTCTCTGTTTGCATCAAACATAGATTTATGTTGATGAGTTGAGATTACTGTATTTTAAAAAAATATCCTGTGATAGCTGTTCTGTACTATTTGGTTATCTAACATTTTGTTCGGGCGAATTACTGCTTTTAAATCCTTTCAGCTACTTACCCTTTTGCTGGTTACCTGAAGTTGCTGGTGTGAAAAAATACCTGATGGCACATTAACATGTATAATTCAAAGTTAATCTTGTGCCTTTTGACTTGGGGCTCATGTTTTCAACCATTGTTTGTTTTTCTCTACCTACAGTGACTTAAAAAGTATGTGTGTGCCTGTAGCATTCCTCTGCTGATCAGCATTCACTTCACATAGGCCTCCTGTCATCTGTCAGTTTCAGTTGATTTGGAGGATGACTGTCTCTTTGAGAAGCTCCCCCAGGTTCTTCCACAGCAGTATATGTACCCTAGTTGTAAGACATGTCCCTCCAGCACTTCTTGTGTGAACAAGTAGAAGAAAGAAACTTAATTTCATTAGTATAGGGTTTTGTCTTGATTTTGGAAAGAAGTCTCTTTTCCTCTTGACACATGTACAGTTGATCCTCATTATTCGTGGTAGATAGGTTGTATAAAGTTGCTGGCAACACTGAATTAGCGAATATTGAACTATTGCTTCTAAGAGGGCAGTATAGGATTAGATTTTTGCCTCTGGTCACAACATGGTAATCTTTCGATCAATACTTAATCTTGTTTTGTGGATGTTTCTCTTCAGAGACATCTTAATATAAATTGTAGTTCGATCACATTGAAGTCATGGCAGACCGCAGTATATGCCTGATGGAACTTATCCGAGATACGTGTTTTCTACATAAGGCATATCACAGCCTTCTTGAACTAAAGAACACTATACATCACTTCAGCACTACACTTGGGGACCATTATAAGCAGTGGAATCATCAATAGAAAGCACAGATGCAGAAAACATGGCACTAAATAGACCGTGAAAAGGACACTTGTTTATGGTGTAAGAGCGGAAAGAAGACGACTGCGGAGTGTCACCTTGTTAAACCTCTGCAGGGATTGTTTGCTCTTCGGCTACAGAAATTTTTTGCTGCTGTGTGCATGTTCGTGAATGATCATGAAAGCACTGCAAGTTGATTTGGGGGTTACAGATAAATTTTAGCAAGTAGGTGGTGAATTTGCAAATGGGAAACCTGCGAATAATGAGAATCAAATGTATATGTCATTCAAGCTCTCCTTGTTTCTATAAACTAACAGTTTTCACTGTAGTGGGAATTACTTTGTCATTTTAGTAATTGCACAGTGACTTAAGAATTCAGGCTGGTGCTTAGGTAAGATTCTTTGAAGTACGTAAATTTATGCTTATTTCCCAGTAATAAGAAAACAAACTTTTCTCTCCAAATTAAAAAATGCCTCGAAACTAATGGCAGTCCAAAGATCATCCTCACCAATTTTACGACATACCAAATGAGCATTTTCCCAAGTTTCATAAAAGTCTAATTTTATTTCTATTTTGCAACGATCTGTGTATGTGTGCATATGTGTGTGAGAGAGCACAAATGTGTGTGCACCTGCGCTAGAAGTTGAATATTTTTCGCTTAAACTCAGTTTATAGGTACATTTAATCTAATACAAATATTTTCTTTAAAAAGGTTGATGGAAAGTTACTATGCTGGCTCTGTACTTTATCATACAAGAGAGTTTTACAGAAGACAAAAGAACAAAGGAAGAGCCTGGGATCTTCACATTCAAACTCATCTTCTTCATCTCTTACCGAGAAAGACCAGCATCATTCAAAACATCACCACCACCATCATCACCATCACCATCGTCACAGCAGTAGCCATCACAAGTAAGTACTTCAAAAGCAGGTTTTCTAAGATCCTCTTGGCATTTTAATGCCAAGCATTGGTGTTTAACTTTTTGCAAATACTACTTTTGTGCAAGTCTAGTTTCTGTTGTACATGGTAAGCTTCTTGGGTGTTTTAGGGCCCTTTCCCTACTTTATTCAGTATATAGCACACGTTGTTTTATCACATTTTTGCTTTATTATGCTTCACAGATACTGCATTTTTTTTACAAATTGAGGGGTTGTGGTAACCCCGCGTTGAGCAAGTCTGTGGGCACCATTTCCAACAGCATTTACTCACGTTTCTGTGTCACATTTTGGATTCTCACAATATTTCAAACTTTTTCCTTATTAAATTCGTTATGGTGATCTGTGATCAGCGGTTCATGACTTGCTGAAAGTCAAAGGTCAGATGACATTAGCATTTTTAAGCAATTTTTTAATTTTTTAAGGTATGTAATGCTCTTGCACACTTAATAGACCATAGTATGGTATACACATAAGTTAGGTGCACTAGGAAACAAAAAATGTATTTGACTTGCTTTATTGCAATATTTATTGCGTGGTCTAGAACCCAACCCACAGTATCTTTGAGGTAAGCCTGTATAAAATTATACACCTGGAGTGTGTTGTGTTAAGCTGTTTACCATAAAAATAAAGAATAGTACATTTAGGGAATTACATAAAAAATACAGGTACACCAGTGTTAATACTTCATAGGTTTATGTTATCAAGGTCCTCAATATCCTTTTTTTGTTTAAATAATTGTTAGGATTTTACTTTAAGAATTGTATTTACGGTTATAAATACAAATTATAGTCCTATGCAGTTATATTTATCAGTGACTAGGATATATGCACATTCAGTGTTTTTATAGAACAGATTGTGAGATTATCATTTGTGATCATGATAGAAGCATTCTAAATCTTGAAGTTTCCAAAAGTGTGAAAAATAATCTTTTAAATTAGCAGTACTTTGCTGCTTTTTAAAAAACACATAGGCAGGAATTCTATTCAAATATAAACAACTACTTGATTTTTAAAGCGCCTTGGGAGGAAAAAGTTACATAGTGGTAATATGTGTGTAGCATAAAGTTTTTTGAACTGTGGTTTTAGTCTTCATGGAAAAATCAAGAATATTAAAGCACAAATTAAACAAAATGGACAAAACAGGGACATGATAACCAGTTTTCAGAAGAACTTGTTTTTTTCCTGAATTCTCTATGAGTCTTTAAAGTTCTAGGTAGATAAAACATAATTTCATTTATAGAAAATTAATGCCTACAACATTTAAGAACACATTTTTAGAATATAATGTACCAATTAACAAAATTTGATTCTAAATTGTAGGCAAGCACATTACGAAGTTTTATCGAGGTATTGATGTTTACTTAGCAATTTTTTCACTTGCCTTACCCTGGTGGTGTACTTTGTGCATGTCACAGTGGTGGAGTGCATAGTGACTTCTAATCTGACTCTTTTGAAGAAATCTTGTGGTGCTTCTGTCAGAATATCCCAAGGAACAAAGGAACATAAATCTTTCTGGATTTTGCCTTTTTAAGAAAAACTGTGACAAAGTAACTATAACAGACCTACTCCTGAAACTCAATTCAAGTGTCCCTTTCCCCTGTCCTTTATAGATAAATTTTTCTTTGTGATAGGACACAGGGTATGTTTATAAAGATCAAATTCTATGACAGTAACTTAATCTTTAGAAAGAAAAACAGTTGTCAAAAGTAAAAATAAGGATGGTATTGACTTATTGCTTAAGAAATAGAAATACTGTTTTGTATTTGATGGATATAGACCGTTTAATGAGTAGGCAACCAGTTTGTGAGGTTCTATTTTAAGTTTAGTAGGTTAGAACAGTTATGAGGAGTGTACATATTGTGATATATAGTGATGGGTGGGGATAGAGGAGAGCGAAAGCAGGTCAATCTGGATCCAGGAATGGCCACCTCAGAAAGCAAGGATGTGAATTCCAAGCGTTTTTGTTAAGCCATTACCAATGTGATTGTTCTCACTTTGAGATCTGGATAGTGCTGTTAATTCATGTGTGACTATATGGTTTGCTAACGCTTATGATGAAATTTGTAAAAGAAAGGGCAACTGAATTCCTCAGTAGTGTTGCCATTTATTGCCACAAATAAATAATAACTCAGGTTTATAGAATTACAGCATTTTCCCCCAACTTAGTATTTATTTACAGCTGATTTTTAAGAACATGTTCTGATTTTTTTTCCTTGCTCGAAAAACTTACACAGCTACAGTAGTAAATTTTATACTCATAAACGTATGTACATGTTTTTATTTATTGTATATATACTAGTAATGTATGAAGTGTTTTTATGTATATAAACTCATTTAAGTCTGATATCTCTATAAGGTATAAATTATACCCATTTCACAGATGAGGGAACTAAGGCTCAGGAATTTTAAGTAACTGGCAAAAGGTCACACAGCCTAGGTTTTTTTTAACATCTTACATTGGATAAATATGTGGCGTCTGGTATGTAGGAGATGCTCTATACATGTTGAATCAATAAACTAGGGGTTAATGCAGGATTGGCTGATATGCAGCTGCAAGAAAACTTGATTCATAGTGAATTATAAAGTCATTATTAGTGTTACGGCATAATGGAAAAGAATCAGTAACACGGCATTTAATTATAAATAAAAGTAAAATCAGTTCTTACTAAGAAATTTCCCAGTATTTTCGGTATGTCTGTTCCACAGTACAGACTAAAGAAACATGTAGGGACTTTGGAGAGGGTTCTTAGGAAAACTAGGAATGAAACAAATTAAGGTATTTCCTGGTTGAACTTGACACACTATTCTGAGCAACTTGAGTTACTCTAAAGGAGGAATCTCCAGACAGGATTATTAGGAAGGCCTTAACTTTAAAGATAGAACATTTTTTATCTGAAATAGTAAGGGCACCCTAAGTATGATGATTGTCATACTTTATAAATTATAGAGCCTTATCATGGTGGGTTTCATGCTTATATACCCCAACTTTTAGTATGATATTTAAATTGACTTTTGGAAAATGATCTGATTAAAAAAAGAATTTAATCCCTGTCACTGTACCTTTGTTAGAGAACTTAGTAGCAATGGGCTACCAGTTATTTGAATCAAACTTATCTCAATAGAATGTGATTAGCTTTAGTTCAAAAACCTAATTGAATATGCATTCTCTGAACAAAAGATTCTAAACATACCTAATTTGAACCCGTTAGGAAGAAGGTTGTTAAACATAGATGTATTAAATAAATGTTGTTGTTAGATGTCATTTATATATTTTTCAGAATCAGCAATCTGAGTCCAGAGCAAGAGCAGGGACTGTGGAAACAGAGGTAAATATGTTAACATATTTTCTGAAGCATTTTGAAGTATATTTTTTTTAACGTGACATCCCTTTAACTTTGTTACTTATGCTTTTAAAAGATCAATGATATTCGGTAATATTTTAGGGGAAGAAGAATGACTTATCACTTGGTGCCTCTGCCCTTTTTACTCTAATTATTCTTATCAATGTTTGGTTTCAGCCATAAATCCTCTGCAGCAATTCAGAATGAAACTCCAAAGAAAAAGCCCAAATTGGAATCTAAGCCATCTAATGGAGATAGGTAAAAATGAATTCCTTTAGCGCTACGAAAATTCAAGTTAGTTGAACAGTTACAGTTGATTGCCAGTTATTACTAGGTAAAAGAATAGAAACATGTATCTTCTTCATTGACTTTTTTGAGTCACCTAGAAGAGTAACCATAATTAGTTAAAAATTTTAACTTAATTTTGGCAATAAGCAAGTGGCACTGAACTGTTGTTCTATTTGGGGAATACATTGGGTTTTGAAAAAAGGAGAACAAATCTGAGTAGAACATTCTCTTGATCTTAATTATTCTTCAGTGAAACACAGATCTAAAAATCTAATTGTGATGTTTTAAATTGACCTGCTTGGAAAATGTATTTAAATTTAAAGTATTATGAGCGTGAGGTTGTTTTTAGTTCATTAGCCAAAAGTTTGCTGATGTTACTGTACAAATTGGCTGCCTATTGCTTTACACTAGAAGTATTGACCCCCTAAAAGCTAATACTGAATTATATTTCTGCAGGTGTATGTAATGTGTGCCATTAGTAAGGTAATTTGCCAGTTGCATCCATTTCTGTCAGGTACATATTTTTTTGCATTAGCCTTAAGGATGTTTGTGGAATTGTCTAATTTATGCAATTTGAACACCTGCTAATTTTCCTTCTACTTCATTTAACTGTGTTTTACTTTTTTCTTTTTAGTAGCTCTATAAATCAGTCAGCAGATAGTGGGGGAACAGACAATTTTGTCCTTATAAGTCAACTGAAAGAAGAAGTGATGTCACTTAAACGTCTCTTACAGCAGAGAGACCAGACCATTTTAGAAAAAGATAAAAAGGTAAGAACATGGTTCACTGAAGCCTGGTAAGATTTACATCTTGCGTTTTGCTTGAAAATGCAAGTTTTATTAGACTTTAATAATTTGGTAATGTTGCGCATGATTCTTACAAGACACATTATAAAAACCAAATTGGATCATAAGCCGTCTAAAGAAGATAGGTGGAAATGGTGAATTCAAGCACCACTATGGGTACTCGGAAATAGAGATAATTCGTACACATATTTATAACCAAGTCTTATTCATAATTTTATGAATTATGGCTGAAATAGGTCTTTCAGAATTTTAGTTCTGTTAACTGAGAGCTAATTAGAATTATAATAATTTCTGAACATTAGCTTCCAGTAACCTGTAGCTTAAAAGTAAGCCTAATGGCTTAATTTGGAAAGGACATGTAAATGGAATATTATGTAAATTCTTGTGATTTGAGAAAGTAGTTGAGTGTAGTCCTTGACGTACCAGTCGTGTATTTCAATCCAGATCAAATAACTGGTGAAAGGTAGTGCTATGGAAATTTCCTGTGTGGTAGTCAGTGATTAGCAGTAGGTGTCTAAGATCATTTTGTAGGAATTGAGTGTACTTCTGAGGACTTTGTCAGTTAGATTAGGAGTATCAAATATATTGTCAATTTAGTGAAAAGTTCCAACATTTTCTGTGTGAACTTGAGCAGAATGCATTCACATCTTTAGTCCTCAGTTTTTTTAAAAAATGGGAGTATTAATACCATCTCAGGAGACGGTTGTTAGGATTAAATGGAAATCTAAAGTACTTACTAGAGCTCCTGCCATGTATAAATGCTCATAGCTGCTATTACTGACGTTGGGTCATCTTTGAGGGTAGAACCAACTTTTGTACTTGTTTATAGTCGTAGACTATTCTGTAAGTTTGACTTACTTCAAATGCCTTATGCAATAGGAGAACATTAAAAACATTCCTTTTAAAATTGTGAGTAAGACTTAATTATAAATGTGTGTATGAATTATGTCTACTTCTGAGTATCTGTGGTGGTGTTTGAATCTGAGCTCGGCATTTAACAACTTTTGTGTTAAATTTTCCCGTGCCTTGATGGTTAGTGGATTTAAGTTTATTTTAATATATTTGTATCTTAGTTTAAGCAAATTCAGTATATGAAATTTAGGATTGACATAAGAATAGGTTAGTTAGGAGTGTCTTACTTTTTATGGTTCTTTTTGATTAAGAGAATTTTTTGAATTAATGAACTTTTATGGAAATTTGTTTTATGCACAAAGTTTTAAAGACATTTCTATGTACAAAGATTTATATTAACCTAGGTAATCTAGGTAAAAGTTGAATAAAATACTAAATTTGCTATAAAGTAACAATTACAAAACCAAGTAGTAATGTATTGTGGAATTTTGACTTTTTTATTAGATTTTTTTTTCATAGCATGACTCTTCTGTGTTAGTGCAGTTTGTGAAAGTTTTCTGCTTTTGTTAGTGTTCCTTTAAAAAAAAAATGGGAATGGAAATAGGCAGTGTTGTAAGGAAAATAATAATTCTGAGCCTAAAATAGCTACATACTTGCTTTTTTCTTATAATGTAAATCTGAGGCAACCAAGATATTTTCTTAAATTTATTTCACTTTATTCAATGACTTCTAGAGCCAGCCATGTATCCTCTAGTGATCATGAAGATACAAAAATGAATAAATAAATTGGACATGATCCTTATCTTCCAGAAATTCATAATCTGAAGGCAACACACAGTGGAGTGACAAGAATAATTGTCTTAGCTGACCTAATGTGAATTGACATTTCAGAACAGGAATTCCTTTGTAATGTAGTAAACAGAGAATTTAGTTATTCTTTGAATTTGGCAAAAGCAAGGGCTTTTATTCAGACAGTAAGAATATAATACACCATGACTCCTTTTCTCTTTTTGCTGTTATGTATCTATACAAGAAAAAAGAACGTGTAAATCTTTAAAGTTTATATATAATGAAAACCATTTAAAAATAACCAGAAGTTTTCTTCTCCATGGTTCTGATAATGAAATTATATAATATCAACTTATTTTTTAGTTCGAGGTCATAAGGATTACGTACTTCTATGTATGTCATTGATATTTAAGAAGAAAATGTAGCTTCCTCAAACCACTGATTTTTTTTCTTACATTTGTCTAAGTTAGCAAAAATTTTAAATTAACTCCCTTTTCTTTCTTATTCCATGTTGTATTTCTGTGCTTTGTTCTCCATTTTACATCAAGCCTTAGGTTGTATTGGATACATAATTCCTGATGTAAATTATAAAGTAAAAGCAATATAGCTCATGGTTGATAAAACCACTCCTCTTTGTACTTGCCCAGAGTGAAAGTTTCTTCTTTTGTCATTGAAGGATTATTTTAACCTGACACCACTTTTAACATTTACTTTGTTTATATATAATGTGAAGTATGTTGTAATTGAAGCATTTTTCCCTGATATGAGCCATTAAATTTTCCTGTTGGTATTCCAGTTGCCAAACTCTGTGTACAGCGAAGCCACCTTTAAATTGAAACAGAAAAAGGCATCTTCTCAAAAGTTTTACTGACAGTTCAGTATTTATCTTAACTTTAAAATATAATATAATAAAATAGAATTTCATTTCACAAAACAAATTCTAAATAAGTTATAAAACTCAGGAAACTGCCGACATCTTCCACCTCTATAACGAATTGTGAATTTATAATGAAGAGTGTTTAAAATGATGTGTGCATGTATATATTTTTATACATGCGCATATATAAGTTTATATGCTTGTTTATCTGTTTCTCAGTTAACTGAACTAAAGGCAGACTTTCAGTACCAAGAGTCAAATTTGAGAACAAAGATGAACAGTATGGAAAAAGCTCACAAAGAAACTGTGGAACAACTTCAGGTAAATGACATTATTTATATGAACTCTTAGGCAAGGAGGGCTAACCTTGCTTAATTGTTAATAATATTGTCTTAGACTGGTATTGGTATCCCTATTTTATGTGTATTTGGTGCATTTTCACCTTCAATTTTGACTTTTTAAAGATTTTTATTTATTTATTTGAGAGAGAGAGTGAGCAAGAGCAGGAGCAGAGGGAAGGGTGAGAAGCAGACTCCCTGCTTAGTGGGGAGCCTGTCGCAGGATCCCAGGACCCTGAGATCATGACCTGAGCTGGAGGCAGACACTTAACCGACTGAGCCACCCAGGCGCCCCTGATTTTGACTTTTTACCAGTTCTTAATCCTGCTGCCATTAAAAGTTATTGCTTGAAATCACTTGATAAGGGGATTCAGTATATTAATTCTGAAAACTTTTGCTTAAACTCGTTATGGGGTTTTTAGAGGAGGATACCAGTGCAGTATGTTCAATTCATCATGGAGTGAAAAACAAAAAATTAAAGATCGAATTCATGAAACTAAGGTGAAAATAAGGTCTTTAGTACATTGTGCAATCATTCTTCGTGTTTTTGCCCAGATAATGGGAAGGGAGGTGGGTGTACAAAACCAATTCTCAGGGGCCTCAAGTGGAGGAAATTTATGCTACATGCAGTGATGAAAGGCAAAGGAGTGCACTTTAACCTTTGTACTGTGATTTTCAAGGTGCCAAATAGGATTCTGTGTGCTGCAGCAGGGAGCCTCTAGTGATCAAGGCCAAGGCCAGCCTCCCAAGATTACTGCAAGGTATATTCAGGAAGATTTCAATATACAGAACAACTAAATGGTGAAGCCAAGAGTCACCATAGTGACAGAGAGGGTAGTATCTGATGTCTGGCATGCGGAGATGGAGAGCATCCAGCAGGGATAGACATTACTCCCTTATTTAAGCCTGTTCTCACCTCAGTTTCATAAATTTAGAAATCAGACCACATTAAATTAACCACATGTTCTGTTGATTTATACATTCTGACATCTGAGGCATTAATCTTTGGGTAACAGGGCTTTTAAACTTCAGTAGTTTTAAGTCTTAAAAGCATAGAGGATGCATGTCAGCACATAGAGTTTAGACTTCATGGGAGAGTGCAGCTTGGAAAGGAAGGGAGTAATACTGCCCTGAGGTGTTTTTTTTTTTTTTTCATTGTAAAACCAGGGTATATGTGCTATTCCTGCCTTTTGGTTTGTATTCCTCATGCTTCTTTGAAGGTAGGTTAAATTGCATGAAATTGTAAAATGGATTTAGGAACCTGAATTTCAGTTACAGCCCTAGTCTTAACATTAGTCTTACAAAGAGTTTTAAAGAGAAACTTTGCGTAGAACCTGGCACACAGTAGGCATTCAATTTGTTGAATGAGTGTTGATTTATGGAAGTGTCCATCTGCCTTCTGTTGAGAAATTGCCCATATAATTGGGTTTTTGGACATTATCCACCAGTATATATTTGCTTTATGATTTTCTTATTTTTTTTCATTCTGTTATTACTGCTGAATGATTACCTGGCAACAGAATCTTCTGCATGATGATCTCTGATTTAAAGTGGTGTAACCAAAACTCTGGAGTAAATCCAGAATTGAGGTAACAGAAAAACTGTGAGCAATACTTAAATTTATGATAAAACTTAGTACGACTCACTGTCCAAAAGAGCAGTTTGTTGTTTTATTTTGTTGTTGTAAACAGAGGGGACCTTCTCTTTGACATCTTAGCCTGATTAGTATCTTAAGCCTAGTAACTCTTCTTGGTCAGTAGCTGAACTTCCATGTAATAGAATAGCAACTAATGTTTCGATAGAAGTATGACATTTCTAACATGATTTTACATAGGCTGTCTTATTTGCTTTTTACAATAACTTTGAGTTCCCACTTTACAGATGAAATGGTGGTCACATAGTTAATCAGAACTGACATAGAAACCTACATCTTGTGACTCAGATTAAACTGTACTTTCTTTTGTGTTCCCACCACCTCAGGTCACTCGGGTTTCTGTTCCTTGTTATCAGACCACTTCCCTGTGTCTTCTGTATTAATTGCTGGAAACATTCTGTTACAGTTGTGTACTCTCTTTTAACTGTAGTCCCTTCAGCCATGTACTAGTAGGATTTTCCATTTAGTTGAGTAAACAGAATTAACTATTTTTCTTACCTTTTTGTTCTAACAAATAACCCTGTAGCAGAAAATTTACTATGTTCTGAGGCGCCTGGGTGGCTCAGTTGTTAAGCGTCTGCCTTCAGCTCAGGTCATGATCCCAGGGTCCTGGGATCGAGCCCTGCATCAGGCTCCCTGCTCGGCGGGAAGCCTGCTTCTCCCTCTCCCACTCCCCCTGCTTGTGTTCCCTCTCATGCTGTCTCTCTCTCTCTCTCTCTGTCAATTAGATAAATAAATAAAATCTTAAAAAAAAAATTTACTATGTTCTAATAGTTCTCAAAACATTTTAAACTATTAAACCTGGGAAATAAGGAGTGAGCATCACAAGAAAAAATTGTGCAAAATACCAAAGTAAACAAACAACCTAAGTTGTCCTAACAGAATACCAAATAAAAAATCTACTTTTTGTTTAGGAGTAAAGTGAATGAAGAAGGGGGGAAAGGGGATTAAGGTTTGAGTGCCTCTGTGTTAGGCTAAGTGTTATATATTTGATTAGTTCTTTCAATTCCTCTTGAGGTGGTGGTGAGGTTTCTGTCTTACGTATGAGAAAATGAACTCCAGGTTACACAGCAGGATCTGTGTTACTCCAGATAGTCTTTCCTTTAGGCCACTGTTTCTAAACATTTTTAGCTTAACTTGTTAAGAATTTTAAATTATTTGATTTTTTTTTGCAGGGTACATAATAAAGACATAACATTAGGATAAAAATTTTAAATGCATACATATTTAAGTATTGCATTGTAAAATACATTTTTAATGTATCTGAATTAGAATAAGACACATTTGGACTTATCTGCGTTTAACAACTGATACATTGTTTATTTTTCTTAAGGGCTTTTTCTTACATAATTTATCAGTAAATAGATTTATTAGTGCTGCAATTAGGAGGCCAAATATATAAATGCAAATTGAAAATTAGCTGCTAAAAAATTAAAAGGGAAAACTGCTTTCAACACCTGATGTTTGAGTTCTTGTGTTTCGTACTTAGAATATGAAAATTATAAACTCTTTGATTTTTGTGTTTGCTTCTTATTGATGACTAAGAAAAGATAATTTGAATATTGTCAGTATATAAAAGGTTTTGGATAAATATAACTTAGAGATCTGATGGTAATCTCTTTGAGGCACATTTGCAAACATACCATTTTTTAATGCCCTTCATTAATCTGTATTTTAAAATTTCTGTTAAGATTTGTTTTTGGCAAAGAGAGTCTATTGTAGTTACAAATTAAATAACATGTGGCTAACAATAAAAAGAAAACAATTTAAAACTATTACACTGACTAGGACCGGTCAGCTGAGAAATAAACCAGTTGATCATTAAGTGTACTCACTTGACTTACTGCTAACTACCAGGCATTCTCCTTATTTGTCTTCTGAATTTCTCAAGCTGTTTAATTTTAAAGGGAAAACAAAATCCTATTAAATTTTTTGTGATTTTTCTAGATTTAAAATTGAAATTGAATTTGAAATTAAAACCTTTTTTTTTTTTTTTTTTAAGAGCGCTGGGATTAGAGGGACAGAGGGAGAGGGGAAGAACCTTAAGCGGGCTCCATGCCCAGTGCAGAGTCCATGATGGGGCTTGATCTCACAACCCTGAGATCATGACCTGAGCTGAAATTAAGAGTCGGGACACTTAACCAACTGAGCCATCCAAGCGCCCCTGTAATTGAAACTTTTAATTACCACCTTAATTTAACAACTATTGATTAGAGATAAATTCTGTTAATCAGGCAGTCGAACCTAAAAATGGTTAGGTTTGCAAATATGAAATCGTTCTAAGAATATTTGCATTCAGGAGGTAATGGGTATTAATTGGGGAGAGTTTGGTTTAAGAAAGGTGGGGGAGTGGAAATACAAAGCTTTGGAAAAGGTTATGTTTCACGAAACTGGTTTAAGATGATGTACAGAGAAGGCAGGGTGTTATCTTGCCATACAAAGACCAAAATTAGAGTAGAAGATGAAGCCCTGAGGTTAAAAAAAAAGTGTTATCTAGATAATAAAAAATCTTGAGACTTGTGAAGGAAAGTAAATGGTTTTCCTACATAAACCAGAGGAAAAATTTTGTTGCTTTTAGGGCAGCACTCAGATTCTAGTCTGTTGTCAACACTCTCCCCATTTTGGCTCAAAAACTCCAAAAGTGTTTGATCATTAATGTATTTATATATATGGAGGGTTCTTATTACCTGTGTTTCCAGAGATTAAGAGATCACATAGGGAGACAAAGGCAGTCAAAATATGAAAGTATTCACTTGAAGGTCCCTCTTTACACATTCCTTTTCACTAAACGCTGGTGATTGTCATAGTGCTTTGGCTCAAGGACAGTGTCTTTGGCGGGTAGAACATTTGAATGAAGGGCACATTCAGTTCAGATCAATGGCAAAGTGAAACTTGGAGTCTTTGAAAAATAATTTCATCCTTTCACAGATCTGAAAACAATGATGTGTAGATGTTCAAATTACATCAAAGCCAGTACCTAGTTACTGTTGTGGCAATTAAAGAAACAAAAATCAGATCAGAGAGGGCATTTCTGATGGATACTTCAAAAAAAATTAGTTGAATAGCATTAAGTTGAGAAAGGGTCTCTTTGGCAGTGATAAAGTGTGAATATTTTTGCAAAACGGACCTCTTTTGCTTATTCTATAAATAGGTAAACATCAAATGGAAGACTTTGTACAGTTTGTTGGGCAGTATTCCTCCCAAATCATTACTGGAGTCATTAATTATAAAACTTATTTTCATAGTTTTCATTTTATGTTTTTAAGTTAAAGAGCCAGACATTTTTTCCTTATTTAAAATTTGACCCTCTCGAATGGATTGCCTAAGTTGCCTTTTTTCTAACTGATTGTATCTTTGAACAATAGTTACATTGATATCAACACTTACAAAAGGGGCTGATAAACCAATTTAGAATATTCCTTCTCCAATATCCAGCATTAAAGAGATGAACCTTAATATACCAACTCTTTGATCTGGTCTTAGTGTTTCAATGAAATCTTGTTGTACAAGTGAAAAGAACAGCATTAAATAAGTACTATTCTTCAACATGACTTAATATTTCAAGCATTTTTCATCTGAAATGTTTTTGTCTCCCACAGGCCAAAAACAGAGAACTACTCAAACAGGTCGCAGCATTGTCAAAGGGTAAAAAGTTTGACAAAAGTGGAAGCATACTAACATCCCCTTGAGAAAGTAGTTATTCATGTAGTGTTTCTGCTGAAAATGTAAATTTGAGAAAAATTCTGTGAAGCCCTTAAATTCTGTGTAGTGGAGAAATATTTTTGCACACCAGATGAATTGGCGTGTTTCCTATTCACTTTTGTAACTGATATACAGCATTTTTTAAGTTGTAAAACGTTCAAATAAAACTTCAACTGGCTTGAAGTTACTTTTTAATGATTTGATATCCAGGAACTTTTTTGCCAGCAATAGTATTAAACACTTGTAAAGGAGTGCATGAGTCGTGCTCTTTATAAAATGCAACATGCAATAATAGAGTAGGTGATGGTGTTCAGAAGTCAGAGCAGCAGGGCTTTCGGTTTGTTTTGTTTTTTGTTTTACACCATGTTGATTTCAGATAAACAGTTTTCACTTTAGAAATACAAAAACTTTTAAACAAGGAAAGTGGTAAACACTGGTTTTTTTGGTAATTGTGTTTTTACTTTGCATCAACATGAATTTAGGAGAAAATCATGGTGCTTTTATTAAATGAACTTCAGAGTATATGTAAATATGTTTTTAAAAGTTACATCATTAACATTAGTTAGTAAACTAGTATTTTCATTATTGGTATAAGAATTAATGTTTATTGTACAGTATCCAAGGTAAAATGTGTTCTGTTTTGTACAAACTACTGTAGATTTTTACTTACAAGTGCCTTTTTGCCACCTAATGTTTTTATTTATAGGAATGCCGATCTTTTGTACATACAGTTTGTTTTAAAATCATGTTTAATAAATGTTTGTATATAAATGCATATGTACAGAAGCCTATTTCAAAAGGAAATCAAAGTTGTTAGTAAAATGTTTGAGATCACATTAAGAACTGATGATGCATATAGACTCTAGATGATTTTGTGGTTTGTTTCTGTGTGATATGAGAAGCTGTTGGTCACTGAATTCATTGAATTATGTAAAAGTACATCCCCCAAAGATTTAATTTTAAATCATTTCTGATAGAGTAATTTTATTTTTTACATCATATGGCTTCATGTTCATATTTCGTGAGTTACGTGTTCTTTATTTTTCTTTTATAAAAACTTAAAAATTTATAATTTTTCTGCAGTGGTCCATATATCTGCCTTTTATCTAAGTTAATATTTATGTACACCATATTTGATTTGTAAGTTTAAAGCAAATCTGGAAAAATTTAAATAACTTAAATCAATCCATGAGTATCTTTGAATAAATTGGAATCTACTATAAGATACAGGCACTATTTATAAGAAAATTATATCAGAGTCTTTAAAATTGTCTATAAAGGTTAAGGTAGGTTGGGATAGGTTATGTAAAGTTATTGACTAATTATTTTCTGATCCGGTGGTTTTTCAGCCTTTAATGGAATTGATCTCCTTAATAAATGCCAGTTCAGACTATTAGTTCAATTGTAAAGCATCAGGCATTGCTTGATATACTGAAGAGAGTGGAAGAGAGTTCCTTCTCTTAGGAATTTATGGGCAAGGATAAATTTGTTTTAAGTAAACTTATTAAATGTATTAGTTTTTAAGTTTTTAAACAAAACAATGATTATGAATGTCAGGTCAAAGATCATCTTTCCTCAGAACACAGGATGATTATAATAATTGTTTTTAACATAACCGATGTTTCAGGAGATGATTCCTGCAGTTTTTCATTATATGTTGATATCAAATAATTTTTTGTCCAATTTGAGAACATTAGGGTAATTTTGAAGTAATATAGCAAAAGATTGAATCAGACTTGGAAAAATTAAACGAGTTTATTTTTATGAGCTCTTCATGCAATAATCTTCCTAAATTTAGTACTCTCAACAATGATAGATAATGCCTTCTTAACACAGATTTTAATGTTTGTGGGATTTGCTAAATTCGTAAGATAGTCATTACCTTTCTTTAAAATTTATAATGTTTTATATTCTGGTTTCATAGCCATTTATCAATCCACAGTGCTCATTATGGTTCTAAAATAAACTGTGTAATAATTCTTATAACATGTTGGAGCTGCTACTAAAAACCAAGGTGCCCCTTCCCCCTTTTTTAGGAAACAGATTAAAAATTGAAAATCAGTCTCAGTAATTAAGCTTTGTAAATTCCAAAGCTAAAAGTTTTTAGGGGCTTCACAGTATTTAGTCCTAATTAAATGCCCTCTCTTTATTCCATGACCTTATTTTATAACTTAATTTTTTTGAAATTGTATAAACTAGTAATTGAGTCCCAGTCCTGGATCTGTAGTGTATTGACATAATGAGCTGATATTCTTTAAATGTGGACCTGTAAGGAGATACTATGGTGTGCCGTATTGTGCTTTTTAGCCCGTTTTCAGCTATTAATTAGCATTTACCAGTGAGGGTCATTTTGGCCCAAGTTATTTATGTATTAATAGCCTGTGAATATTGCAGTTCTTTTTAGATTGTATTGGTCTAAATATGCATTCTCTGGTGAACCTGGTAAGCTGTTCACATGTATAGATTATTGAAATACTGTACTTGTACACATCTGACTGTTGACATTTTGTACTTTTTTCTAAATCCAATATTTCACAATAAAAACTTATCAAAAGTTTTGTATTAGTTTCTTGTTACTTCTGCAACAAATTACCACAAGCTTAGTGGCTTAAAACAGCAAAGATTAATTCCCTGACAGTTCTGGAGGCCAGAAGTCCAAAATCAGTATTACTAGACTAATGTCAAGTGTCAGCAGAGCTGGTTCCTTATGGATGCACTAGGGGAGAATCTGTTTTCCTGCCTTTTTCAGCTTTTGGAGCTGCATTCCTTGCATTCGTTAGCTCTGCCCCTTCCTCCATCTTCGGAGCTAAAAAATGTAGCATCTTCAAGTCTCTAGCTCTGTCATCATGTGGTCTTCTCTCTTTGGTCATGGTATTTCCCTCTGCTCCCATCATTGGGCCAACCTGGATCATCAGGAGTCTTCATATCTCAAATTCTTAGTCACATTTGCAAACTCCCTATTGTCACATAAGGTAACCTATTCATAGAGATTAGAACGTGGACTTCTTGGGGGACCATTACTGAGCCTACCATAAGCTTCATCTACATTTCCCCAGTATGAGGCTTTAAAATTAACAGATTTAAGAGAATTGGCTCAGGCAAACACATTCAATTTTGTGACATGTTCATTAAGACTGCTGTCATGAAACAGGTTATTGAGCCGTTTGAAATATTTCAAAGCAACAGTAAAGCAAATCAAGCTAGATGTAGTTACGTTTTTGCAAACTTTGGAACATGACTAAAACCATGCCATGTTGTTTGATAAAATAAGTTAAAGACCTGATTTATAGACCTTTATAGTCTAGTTGGGGAGACCATATACGTGAAAATGTATCTGGAGCTTTGGTATTAAGTGCAATAAGAAGCTAATAGCTTTTAGCAAGGGCATTCTAAGAATTGTGGGAAAGGTTAGTCTAAGTCATTGCTTTCTTAAACTTGAGCATGCATCAGTCACAGGGCGGGATGGGGTACCTCGTGAGGCACATGTGGCTGGGCCTCTGCCCCAATTTCTTGAGTCCATGAATCTGGGATGGTCCCAAGAATTTGCATTTCTAAGTTCCCAGGTAATACTAATGCTTCTGGCCCAGAGGGCACACTCTTAAGAACAAGTGGAATATAAGAAAAGGCATGAAAGATTGAAGGGCTAATGAGTAGAGGATATTTTGAGGAGAATTGGGGAGTGACCCTAGAAAAATTATTTGGAGCTACATTTTAAAGGCAGTTTGGGTAGTCTACTAGAGTTTTGAAAAGGAGATGATGTAAGACCAGATAATTGAACACGTCAAGAAGATCGTTATGTATCATTTTCTCCAGCTGCTTTATTTTGTAGCCAAGGAAATGGAGCGGGAAGTGGTAAATGACTTGAGTATTGACTTTTATTAATGCTCTGCCATTTTCCAAAAGGAATTTGAGGTAGCTTGGTTGAAGTGACTTGTACCCTTAGACAGTTTGCCACACAAAATCAGTATTAAGGAGGTGTGTGTATAGTTGTCCTCTCAGAGCCAAGAAGTTGAGGACGATGAGAATCATCAGTTGGATGTCAGTTGGATAGGACAAGCTTATGGGCAGAGAAAAACTTCAATTCTAAACAATGTCTTGGCATAGAAGGTGCAGAATTTGGTTTTTAATTGACAAGGGGATAGTGGATGACAAGCCCACTGGTTTGATGCTCATGTTTGTTGCTGCTATGACTGAATTTGGAATTGTTTTGCTAGTCACCGCTTTTCAAGAAAAATGCGATCTGAGAAGTTATATGATTAGAGGCTTGAAAACTGTATTTTGACTAAAATGATTGACTTGTTTCTAAAATAAGGGAAAAGACCAACAACCGTATAGAAACTGGGCCAGAGAAATGAGTAGACCGTTCACAGGGAAAATGCAGATGGTTTTTACGTGAAAAAATGACCTTACTCATAATAAGAAAAAAGAAAAGAAAAAATTAAAAGTGTATGGAGTTAACCATTTCTCACCTATAGGTTTACAGTATTCCAAATCTGACAACATACAGACACCGTTGTGAGGAAACAGACACTCTCTGACATTCCTGGTGGCCACTGCAAAATAGTCCTATTTTAATCCTGAGTTTTAATAACTGGCAGCATTACATATACATTTATGCTTTGATCTAGCAATCCAATTTCTAGGAATCTGTCCCAAACACACTCTTAGAAAAATGAAGACATACGCACAACTCAAAACTATCTGCAATAGCAGAAACAGAAAACAGTCGAAATTAAGGGGTTGGTCAAAAAACTTTGGGACAGCTATAATGGAATCTATGTAGCTGTAGAATTTACTCAGCTAGTACTCACACTACATTGTCGAAGTGAGAAAAGCGAAGAAGAAAAGTATGCTGTAGCATGTTAAGGGTAGGGCTACACCCACATACATACACAAAAGGTATCTGCTTATATTTTTTAAAAATTGAAGGCTTAACCCTAATTGTTTAAAAATAAGGGGTGGGGGAGAAAATATGTTGGAGGGGACCCAGTTAGAAATTAGAGTTCTTTGAACACATGTTTTATTGATTTGACTTTGGAGTCATTGAGATATTTTTACAAAATTATAAAATAAAACAATCTTTAAATTTATTTTTTTTATTTGAGTAGACACAATGTTACATTAGTTTCAGGTATATGGCATAGTGATTTGACAAGTTTATGCATTATGCTGTCTATCCTCACCACAAATGTAGCTCCCATCTGTCACCATACATCACTATTACAGTATTCCTTATGCTGTGACTTTTATTCGTATAACTTATTCTTTCCATAACTGGAAACTGTATCTCCCACTCCCCTTCACTCATGAAGGAAAAGTCTTAAAAAAAAAAAAAAAAGAAATGAAACGAATATACTTAAATATATAGCCAATTGGTGCCATAACCACACAGAGGGCTCTTCTAATTGCCATAAAATGCAATAACTTGTACCTCCTTAGTGGGATATGTTCTAAGGTAAAAAACAAAAAACAAAAAACAACTGCAAAAATAATTTTATACTGTTGACAATAATCATAATGTTGGTGGCAGTGTCAGTATTGTTATTCTGAAATTATGGTGTGGGATAAAATTTTGTGGGATAAAGCAAGTAAATAATTGTGTGATATTCTATTATTCCATTTGTCGCTCAGGCCTGGGATTCTTGGCTAAAGAGAAAAGAGATAGGTTTAGCAAAATCGGTGTCATGTTTTTAATTAGAATTATCAGCGTAAACTCAAGATATTTTATCTAAGAAATAAACAGACATATTTAGCGGGGAAAGTATGCACCATGTTATCATGCCATATAGTAAGAAAGCTATCAAGGACTATTTAGTATGCTCTCAAAAAGACTCATAAGGCAATTGGAAGATTGCACAATTTGAACATCAGTATAGAAAATCATAACTGCAATGGGTTGAAACATTGAATATGTTTTAAATACATGAGTTCAAAATGATACTAAGTAGACATATACACCACGCGAGAAACAAAGCACTAATTGCTCACCATTAGAGGATGCTAGTGAGCTAACTCATTATTGGTAAATAAACAGAAAAGAATCAATATTTCCTATGGTTCTCATACAAACTGTATCGCTGGGTAGGTAAGTAATAAATGAGGGATACATTCTCTCTGAAAAAGCATTCCAGCTAATAAGTGAAAAAGGAATGGCAAAATTACAATATCTCCGTTTTGCAACTTCTAATGAATTGATGGAGTAATAGGCATAGGTCAGCTGCTAAAAATACACAGACACATTCTTAACATCACATGCTTTCTGACTGAGGAACATACTGCTACCC